CTTTGTTTGAAAAATAAGAATAGTTTCAAATACATATCAAGCTTATAAAAATATCAATGTACTTTGGAAGGTATAATAGATGAAAAAGTATTAAAAAGCATATTAAAATACAATCAAATTATATTTCATGAAATAATGATACTTTAATAAAAGGTTACATTTTACTTGAAGACAATAATAAGCAATATAAATTAATTTTTATTTGGAAACAAAAGAAATGAAAAGAGAATAATAACTTTTTTGTAACTGGAATTTTATCAATTAATTTTATTACTAATTCTGGTGGATTTGTAAATAAGTAAGTATGATTATATTGATTATATATAGTGCATTTAAATATTTTGAATTGTTGACTAATTAATTAATTTAATTATTAATAGTGAAGAAAATTAAATATCATCATCTGTTCAAGAATCATTATCAAATGGTAATTATGCTTTACATACTGTTGACTGTAATTACCTTTACTAAACACAATTAACTAACAACTAATAACAGAGAAACTATTGTCTAAAAGATCACAAAGCAATTAGACAAATATGTTAAAGTTGGAGGATTTATATTATGAAGAAATATAAAGAGTAAAGAATTTGATGTTGCAGATTTGTTCAAAAGAAGCTAAAGGTGTAAGGATTTAAAGGGATATAAGGATTTTTATACTAAGTAAACATATATTCACAGAAAATATTATTAGTTTTATACAGAAACTATAGTAATTCACATAAAATTAATATAATTAACCTAGATCACGAAACAAGGTTAATTATAAACAGAATAATACCAAGATCATGAAATAGGATATTATTATCAAGAAAATATTTCACTAAAGATTCAAAGGTTTCAAATTATTACTTGTTACGAAGACTTTTTATTAATAATTCATTACATATAGAGTTCAGAATATAATTAAGTTCTAACTGTCTTAACTCTAAAAGCAAAAGCTACTTCTATTTATACAAAATTGCCATCCTGTCACAAGATTATAATTACTAATCTCAAGAAAGCTCCGGAAATTTCTGTTACATTCCGAAATATTCTATGAGCTATTTTCGACTAATGAGTTATTTGTACTAGAGGTGTTTACCAAGGTTTTGACCAGAGGTTTAACTAAAGGTGTCAACTAGAGATGTTGACCTTGTGTTACAATAAAAAATGATCTACATTTGTTACTTGTAAATAATAATGTTAATAATAAATATATAGTATATAAAAATTAAAGAAATAAAGTTGACAATTATATATAATAACACAATTTTATATAAAATCGTTGATAATTGCCACATATAAACTTTTGTTTTTATAAGTAAATGTCAAAAACGGTACTAAGTAACCTTAAAGATAAGTATTAATTGTACATTATAAAAAAATTATAGACCGTATATAATTAAAATTGAGCGAATAATAATCATTTTAACTTTTTTTAACCGTTCTAACTTTAAATACTAATCGTTCTCTCAATTTTAATGAAATAGGTCTGCCATTTTTACAGAATATGCAATTCATTATCTCCTTTAATATTAATTAATAGCATTTTCGATATTAACTTATAAAAATAAAAAGTTTTATATGTAGAAACGATTAACAATTATTTTCGCGATTTTAAATCTGACGATTAATCGTCGGCCAATATTCAGACTCGATTCTATAATCGACTCGCGATTCCTATCCCTATTTCCGATGTCTTCGCTTTTTAAAAAACCAAAAAATATTTTTGTAGTTGAATAGAGTAAGTAAAAAATTGTTTGTTTGGTAAATCATCCGAATATGTTTAAAATCAAATCATAAGTCGTACAAAATCCAAATTTAAAGTGATTGATTAACCATTACACCAACACTCTACACGATTTCCTCACGGTACAAGAATTACGGAAAAATGGAAATAGACCATTTTCAACAAAAGAATGATATTGATAATAATCTTGGAGAATCAGTTATTTTATCAAAATATAGAAGTGCCGCAGATATTGTCAATGGTTTATTAATAATTAATAAATTTATTTTTTTTTAATTATTGATAATTAATAAATAATTCAAATTAGAGAATTAAACATTATTATAAATTTCAAAATATATAGCCGTTCTTCCAGAAATTATTAAAAAATTGGCTCCAGGAACATCTGTAGCTGAATTATGCCAATATGGTGATAAACTTATTTTCTCTCACGTTTGTATCAATTAATTATTATTCTTATTATGATTATTATTATGATTATTATTATTAAAATTATTATTATTATGATTATTAAAATTATTATTAAAATTATTATTGAAATTATTATTTAAATTATTATTGAAATTATTATTAAAATTATTTATTAAAATTATTTATTAAAAAATTATTATTATTAAATCAGATACTAAATTAATTAATTAATTCAATTAATTTTATTTAGACATCAAAAGTTTATAATAAAAAACAAGTAGAAAAAGGTATAGCTTTACCAACAATGATTTGTGTAAATCATTATTTACAATATTTCTCTCCATTACCTGGTGAGAATGATGTAATCCTTAAAAATGGTGATGTAGTTAAAATGTAAGTACTAAATTAATATTTTTTTATTTAATATTTTAAAATATTATTTATAATAATAACTTAAAAAAAAAAAATTTTTTTTTCTTTTTTAATATATGTATAGAGAATTGGGAGTTCATATTGATGGATATATTGCAACCGCAGCTCATACGACAATATTAAATCCAAATCCTCAACAACCAGTCACTGGTAGAGTTGCGGATGTTTTAGCAGCAGCCTATTATGGATCAGAAGTTGCCTTAAGATTACTTAAACCGGGAAATAGAGCAATGGATATTGTAGATGCAGTAAATTTAGTAGCTCAACAATATAAATGTGTTCCAGTAGAAGGTTCATCTATTCAATTAATTCGTCGTTATTTATTACAAGCAGAAAAATCGGCAATTTTAAATCCATCACTTGATGATAATATTTTGGATAATGATTTCATAATTCATTCAAATGAAGTTTATAGTGTTAATTTAATTATGAGTAGTGGTGAAGGATTGGTAAATATTATTATTAATTACTACTATTATTAATTTATTATTTATTATTTTCAATTATTATTCATTATTACATTTGTTATTTCAATTTTAATTTCAATTCTAATTTATTATTATAATTAATTATTATTTCAAATTATATCAATTATATTTATTATATTTAGGTTAAAGAATCAGAAGCGAAACCAACAATTTATCAAAGAAATGTTAATGAATCATATAATTTGAAATTGAAAGCTGCCAGAGCTGTATTTAAAAAGATAATTAATACTTATAGCGTTTTTCCTTTCTCTACGAGGTAAGTATAATCTAAACATATATTTACTAATTGGTTATATTATTATTATTATTATTAACTAATATAATATTTAACACAAATATTTTATTCATTTAGTTCACTAGAAACTTCGCGAGATCGATTAGGAATTCCAGAATGTGTAAGTCATGGATTAATAAGACCTTATTATGTATTATTAGAAAAACCTGGTCAAGCTGTAGTTGCACAATTTAAATGTACTGTCATTATACCTCCTAATAACAATAATAATAATAATAGTAATAGTAAAGATGTTGATGTTGCTAGTGGGAAATCATTGAGAATTACTGCTTCCCTTCCTTTACCTTATGTTCATTCAGAATTATCCATTCCACCTGATACTGATACTGCTAAATTATTGAATGAGGAAGTTAAATCTGTTAAATAAGGGAAATAATTTATCTAATTTTGGATAATTATATTGACATTTTGAAATATTGAAATTATTAAATTTTATTCTTTTTTGTTATTATTATTTTAAATTTTATTTTAAATTTTATTAAATTCAAATTTTACTTTGATTAATATCTAATATTATAATGTAATAATGAAATTTTTACTTTAATGATTGTCTAATATCTGCTTCGTGTTATTAACTTGTCGTACTACCTTCATATGATTTTCCTTTGAATTTTTATTATTAATGTCGTTTTGAATGTTCTTTGCATTTTCATTATTATTATATTTAATATTAATTCCTTCGGAATTTTCTGAATTTCCATAATTCTCATAATTTCCATAATTCCCAGAATTCCAACTACTATCATCAACTTCACGTAACACCAATGACTCATTCTTTCCATTTTTTGTGTTCTTGGTACGTAAATTTCTTTTATTTGTAATATCACTTTGTTCCAATGCTTTTCGATTATTATTCCCTATGATCTGACAATTTTTATCAAATATTTTCATATCATCTCTTTTAAGCATTATTTCTGGTCTTACGATATCATTGGTAAAATATGGAATCCATTCCTCATCGCCTTTATTATTATCAACCAAAGAATGCGATAATTTAATGTCTTCTTCCTCTTCCGAAAAATATTCTTTAAAGTACCGTTTTTTATAGAATATCATGGTTTCTAACATAAACATAAGTTCGCTATGTGGCTCATAATAAGTATCGTATCTAAATTTAAAGTTGGAATATTTGAATAGTTTTTTAATAGAAATATTTTTTTATATATAAAGAGTTTGGATTTTTTTTTTAATATATATATTTTTTTTAATACCCTTCACAATTGATCCAACGATTACTCTCATCTTTCTCATTTTCTACATTTTCTTTCAATTCACCTATTACTGACATTAACGTACCAACCGTTAATTTCCTAACATCAATTTGTTTTAGACAAATAGGTTCTAGGTTAATGCAAATTATTCCGGTCGAATCATCTAATAATTTTATTTAAATAAATAAATAAATAATAATAATAATAATATTATTATTATTATTACTTTTATTACTATTATATTATTATAATATTTCAAAGATAATGAAGATATAAAAGATATAATGTATATGATGTATACCAATGACAATTCTTTTTTTGACTAGATCTTTTTTTATTATAATTCCATAAACTCTATAAAGAATTCAATTATGTAAGTAAAATTCTTGTTTGAATGTGATTTCCGAGATAACAACCTGACTTTTAAAAACTGGAGTGAAGTTGTTCCAAATAAAAATACATTTCCACTTTTATTGCAATATTTATGTATGTCACGAAGAAACAATCGAAAATGAACGTTTAAATCGGTAATTTCCATTAGAATTATTAATTTCTCTTTAATGAAAAAAATAATAATAATATGTGAACATGTAAAATTAAAAAATTAAAATTTCTTTGACGCGAAGTTTTATTTTAACGTTTGTCGCGTTCAGATTTTTTTGATTGGTTTCACTCAAAAATAGAATGCTTATCCAATCAGACGACAATCATACAAACTATTTCAATTTCCTTATTGGAAAAATTTGTAAAACTGTTAAAACTGTTTCCTTTATACAATTTCAATTTCAAATATTTAGAAATATTTAGAAATTATGGCCAAACCATCATCGAAAACCAGAGAAATTTTTATAGATATCGATGATGAGACTCAAAACGTTAATCAACAAAGTGGTTATGTGTGGGAGGAAGAATATAAACGTAGTTGGGATGTTTTGCAAGAAGATGAAGATGGAAGTCTAAAACGTAGTATCGATCATCTTCAAAATCGTCTAAAACGAAAAAGGTAAATGCTTCCATTCGTTACATACATACATACATACATATATATATATATATTATCAATGAATTTTCCAATAATATAAATATATTAAAAAGGTTGCTTCGAGATACATCTACAATAAGACGTGGAATCATAAGAAACATGTTTTTAATAATAGATTTATCTGAAGCCATGATGGAAAAAGATCTTCGTCCATCTCGACTTGATTTAACATTATCTTATGCAGAACAATTTATTCTAGAATTTTTTGATCAGAATCCAATCAGTCAACTTGGTATTATAGTGTCGAAAGGGGGTGTCGCCGAAAGACTTACAGGACTGTCTGGTAACAACAGACAATCCTTTCTAATAATGATAATAATGTGATGATGATGGTGTCGAGTAAAAAATAAATTACTCTTTGTTATTGTTGAATTTTTTAATTTATTTGTAATTAAATCGACGTAGGTAATCCAATGGATAATATAATTGCTTTGAAAAACAAAAAAAATATTGATGTCGATGGAGAACCATCGTTGCAGAATTCATTGGAATTGGCGCGATCTTCATTGATGTAAGTAATTTTTTTTTTCAATTTATAAAGAACTGAATTTATTATTATTTATTATATCTTTATTTATTTATTTATTTATTTATTTATTTATTTATTTATTTATTATTTATTATTATTATGATTATTGTTATTTTATTATTATAATATTATTATATTACTATTATTATATTATTTTATTATTATTATATTATTTTTATTAATTTATATTCTTATTATTTTTTTTATTTTTTTATAGTCATACGCCAACTCATGGATCGCGAGAAATTTTATTAATTATGGGATCACTTACATCATGTGACCCAGGTGATATATATGAATCAATTGAAGATTTAGTGAAGGATAATGTTCGAGTTTCTATTGTTGGATTATCAGCCGAAGTGCAAATATGTAAATATATATGTAAAAGAACAAAAGGTATCAAAAAATATCAGAAAATTAATTCAAAAGTAAATGAATGTAAAAAAAATTTAACATAATAAGAAAATTTTTAAATAATAATAATAATTTAGGAACATATGGAGTCGTTCTCAATGAAGCACATTTCAAAGACCTACTTTTTGAAATTATCCCACCACCACCAGTTTCTTTTGCTCAGAGCAATTCAAAGCTTGTGATGATGGGATTTCCTAGTAGTGTCAATCAATCTTCACCTTATCTATGTGCATGGTATGATAAACGCTTGTATATCTCCATATGCAGTTAACAGTTAAAAAAAAAAAAAAAATTAAAAAGGGAAAAAAAGTATGATGACCTTTGACAGACTTACTATAAAGTATTGATTGCACAGCCATAATAAACCCGTAACTAGTGGTTATACATGCGCTCGGTGCAATTCAAATATATGTGATATCCCAACAGAGTGTCCTATATGTGAACTTACGTTAGTTTCAAGTCCTCATTTGGCTCGTTCATACCATCATTTATTTCCTGTGGAAAACTATATAGAAGTTCCTTGGAATAGGTTTGTATTTAATAATTAATTAATTATTTATATATTTATTATTATTAATTATTTTTTATTTTCATTCATTATTTTCATTTTCATTCATTATTTTCATTTTCATTCATTATTTTATAAATTTAATTGATTTGGTTCATAGTGCTACGACAACGCATTGTTTCGCATGTCAGATTTCTTTTCCTTCGTTATCAGAACGTACTCTTTCAAAAAATATAGAAACATCAAGTGGAAGATACAGTTGTCAAAAATGCAATCAACATTTTTGTATAGATTGTGATGTGTTTGTACATGAGGCGATTCATAATTGTCCAGGATGTTTAGCAACATCACAAAATAATGTAAAAAATTTGATGGCCCAAGTGAATGGAAATTTATCTTGATTATTATTTTATTATTAAGATTATAATTTAGTGGGTTAAAAGGGTAATATTTAAGTTCGAGAAATTTTTTTTTTTTGTTATAAATTATTTGACATTTTTTTTTATTTGACATTTTTTAATTAATTGCTGGAAATTTATAATTTATAATTTTATCAGGTAAAAAGAAAAAAAGGTGATAATATAGATATAATATTATGCTTGATATTTAGAAGAAAAAAAAATTTTAACATTTTACAAGATTTTAGTTAATTATAATTATAAATTTTTTGATTTTATTTTTGTATATTTATAAAACTTATAAAATAGATAAGAATTCATTATCATAATATATCAAATCAATATTAGCATCATAAAATCATTTCCGCAATAAATTTTTTTTTTCATAATATTATGATAATTATTAAATATTATACATTATATATCATTATTTCAAAAATTTTCCTTTTTGCTTAACGTTTTCTACAAGGTTATGTGTAAAAGTTATAGCCCGTTTCGTGCCAGTTTCAATATATGGCGAAGCTGTATAGAATACGTTTTGATCAATATTTATTTAATACGTAAAGATCTGAATAAAATAATCCCTTACCTCTCTCAACGTGATTTTGCGTTAAACCTACAAACTTGTGGAAAGCGTGACTTTCTAAAAGCTATCCACGAATAACATAAATTTAATGTAAATAATTCGTTTACTTCGCATTTTTTTTTTTTTAAGAATATATAAATCAAATGTAAAAATAACCTTCTGGGTAATATATTTAGAAGCTAAAGAAGAAAGCATACGGGACAACATCCTAGAGATGTGCAATTGTAGCACAAGATTGGAATTTTATTTAAACGCCCGCCGATCCGTCTATTGTAAGATTTTAGATCTACACCAACCTGCCGGGCAACAATTTTTTTGTCAAATTTTTAAAAAATTTTAAGGATGAATTATAGCACAAGTAATGATTAAAATTGCA